TATAGATATTTGCATATTGCTGCTATTGAATGTAAGTGGAGGGGACTGAATGTCCTATCATTCAAATGGGTTGCTTTCTCCTGGATTTTCTTGAGTGATGTTGGAGCTGCGCCCATCCAGGCAAGTGGTGGGAGTATTCCATCACACTCCTCCTAACTTGTGCCCTGTAGATACTGAACAGGCTTTGGCGAGTCAGGAAGTCTGCAAGATTCCCAGCCTCTGACTCGCTCTTATAGGCTTTAGATGGCTAGTCCAGTTCAGTTTCTGGTCAATGGTAACCCTCAGGATGTTGATAGTAGAGGATTCGATTAGAATCATAGAATCCTATAGTACAAATAAAGGCCAGTTGACCCATCGGGTTTGCACCCACCCTCCAAAAAGCATCCAACCCAGACTCATAACCTCCCATCATAACCCCACATTTCCCATCCCCCAAGCCTGCACATCTCTGGACACTATAGGGCAATTTCCCATGGCCAATTTACCCTAACCTGCACATCTTTGGATTGTGGAGCACCCAGAGGAAACCCAACACAGGGAGAATGTGCAAACTCCACACAGATTGTGGCCCCGGGTGGGGGGGTGCTGGAATTGAACTGGGGTTTCTAGCGCTGTGCGCAGCAGTGTTAACCATTGTGCTGCCCACTAGTTACCTAACACGTTGCTCCCGAGCTGGCTTATGGTCCTGAGCCACTGGCAGAGGGACTGTCTCAGATCCCTACTGCCCTCTCAAGTAGACACAAAAAAAGCCTGTCTCCTGTATTTAAAACTGTAACACATGATTTTTCAGTGTGCCGGCCAATACTTATCCCTCAATCAACAACACTAAGAGCAGAAGCTTGCTATGCACAGATTGGTTGCATGCTTCTGAGATTAGCACACTTCTCAAAGTGCTTCATAGGTTACAAAGTGCTTTGGGATATCTGGAAGTCATGAAGGGCGCTACAGAAATGCACATCTCTTCTCCACAGGATACCTAGGTCAGGCAAACCTTGCTTTGGATTTACTAATGTTGTAAATCGCCACAGTCCCAGAGGAAGCAGAGGCTACTCACCACTGCCGGCGAGGTTAAGCAGAGGGTCACCACATCTGAGAGGAAGGGGTGAGGTCGAGAAAGGGGGCTTCATTGTGATCTTGGTCAGCACAGGAACTGAACCCACGCTGTTGGTGTTACTGCGTCACAAACCAACCATCCAGTAACTGAGACAACTGAGCTCCACGTGTTGAGATGGGACAAAGAACAATAGTGAGTGAGAACAAGTGGCAGGGAGGGAGCTGGATGAAACTGGGTTTGGGGGAAACACAAGTTTTTTTTTAATATTCATTCATGGGATGAGGGTGTCACTGGCTAGGCCAGCATTTATTGCACATCCCTAATTGCCCCAGAGGGCAGTGAATTGATAGTAGGGGAACACTTTGGGTCTAGCAATCATAATTCTATTAGTTTTAAAATAGTCATGGAAAAGGGTAAGTCTTCCATAAAAGTGAAAGACTTTAATTGGAGTAAGGCAAATTTTAATGGTATAAGACAAAAACTTTCAAAAGTTGATTGGAGTAGACTGTACGTAGGTAAAAGGATGTCTGATAAGTAGAGATAACACAGTGTAGAGCTGGATGAACACAGCAGGCCAGGCAGCATCAGAGGAGCAGGAAAGCTGATGCTTCACGTCTGGACCCTTCTTCTGTTGTTTATCTTGTTATCTTAGACTCCAGCATTGGTAGATCCTACTATCTCTGATAAGTAGAAGGCTTTGAAAAGTGTGATAACGAGAGTTCAGATTCATTATGTTCCTGTTAGAGTGGAAGGTAAGGATGGTAGGATTAGGGAACAATGGATGAATAAAGATACTGAGGTTCGAGTCAAAAATAACTACCTAGTAGATATATCAGAACATGGTCAGCTTGGACCAAAGGGTCTGTTCCCATGCTGTATGAGTCAACCACATTGCTGTGGGTCTGGAGTTAATTGTGAGCCAGCTTAGCTTCCTTCTCTCATGAACCAAATGGACTTTTCTAACAACCCCTTTACAGTCATCATTAGACTCTGAATTCCAGATTTTTAATCTATCAGGGTGGGATTTGAACCCAGGTCCCCAGAACATTAACTGGATCTCTAGATTAGCAAACCAGCAATAATTACCACTAGGCCACCACCAGCTTATTGCTAGCTCACAGCAACTGCACAAGTGGTCTCAGTGTCAAGGGATTTCAATGACATGGGGAGACTGGAAAAACCAGAACTGTTGGAGCAGCAAAGGTGAAGGTGAGATTTAATGGATACTTTTGAAATCACATTTTTATAGAATAAGTAAGGAATAACTTGTCCACCCTGGTTGAAGGCTCGATAACCAGAGAGACACAGGCTAGAGGTAAGTGACAAATGAGTCAGAGCGAGAGATGAGAAATATTTTTAACACAGTGAGCTGTTGTGATCTGGCATGCCCTGCCCAAAAGGGTGATGGAAGCAAATTCAATAGGAACTTTCAAAAGGGGAATCAGATAAATAGCCACAAGGGGGAAGAGTAAATATGCAGGGCACTGGGGGGCTGATGCTGGGGCAGAGTGGAGAGCTTTAAATCTGGGATCTTGCTGTGCAGCTCTAAGCTATCCGTTGAAAAGAGTGAAGGGGTGTTAGGCTGAGGTACGATGGGCTCAATGGTCTCATTAGGACTGCATCATGTGTGAGCGACAGCTTTGCAAAGAAACTACATGATGTGCAGACATGACAAAATAATGTCAGTCATCTGTGACTCTCTCTCTCTCTCTCTCTGCAAAGTGTGTGTGTGGATTGCAAATGGGGTGTGGAAAGGACCAATCTGTGTGATGGTTATAATCTATCTGACAGACATGGCTAAACTATCCCTTTGGTACATCAGGGGAACAGTCCGAGCACAACTGATAGTAGACTTAATCTCTCTCACAGACAGAAAGACAGGGGTAATAGCAATTAAATACTTCAAATGAATGGGGATTGCAGCCAAGAGATCAGGACTGCGCTCTGCACAGTGCAGTAGGAGGCCATTTGGTCCAGCATCTCCCTGCTGACTCTTCCAGAGAACTTTCCAATTAATTCTTCTTGCCCTGCTCAATAGCCCTGCCCCTGTTGCCTGTTCTTCAAACATCACCCCAATTCCCTATCTGAAAGTTAATCTTCTCCTTTTCTGGCAGGGAATCCGGATTTAACTTTCTGCGCACAAACACTTTCTAAATCTGTGGATCCACCCCAAACAACCCCCCCCCCCCCCTCAAGTTGGTTACCAACATTTCTGTCTGTTTCTGCCGGTTTATCCCTCTCTATCAAAATCCAAGGTTTAGGGAGGGAATTCCAGAAGTCAGGACCCAGGCAGTTGAAAGTTAGGGCTGCCAGTGGTGGAGAGATCAACATTGTGGATACCCAAAACGAACAAAGTGCTATCATCTCCCCATCTGTGGGCAGGAGTGGGCAACTGGAGCAGGTGACCACTAAAGATACAATCAGGAGTAGACCATTCACCCCTTAAACCTCAACCACCTGTCAGTAAGGTGATGGCTGATCTGATCCAAGCCTCAACACCACCTTCTCCATACCCCTCCATTACCCTTGGCTCCCTTGTTGGTCAAAACTCTAACGCAGTCTTGGATAACACCCATAAGGAATAGGAGCAGGAGTAGGCCCCATCTGGCCCATCCAGCCTGCTCTGCCATTCAATAAGATCATGGCTGATCTTTATCATGGACTCAGCTCCACTTACCCGCCCACTCACCATAAGCCCTTAATTCCTTCACTGTTCAAAAATCTATCTTTGCCTTAAAAACATTCAATGAAGTAGCCTCAACTGCTTCCCTGGGCAGGGAATTCCACAGATTCACAACCCTTTGGGTGAAGAAGTTCCTCCTCAATCTGCTCCTCCTTATTTTGAAGCTATGCCTCCAGTTCTAGTTTCACGTGCCAGTGGAAACAACATCTATCCTATCTATTGCCTTCATAAATTTTACATGTTTCTATGAGAAACCCCCTCATTCTTCTAAATTCCAATGACTATAGTCCCAGTCTACTCAATCTCTCCTCATAAACCAACCCTCCCAACTCTGGAATCAACCTAGTGCAATTCCCCTGCACCCCGTCCAGTGCCAGTACATCCTTTCTCAAGTACGGACCATTGCTCTTGGGAGCAGAGAAATTCCTGCTCATCTCTGTCTTATTGGATACTTGGAGCATTGGATGTGGAGATAGACCTTCATTTTAAAGTCCCATTCAAAAAGGCGGCACCTTTGACAGTGCAACACTGTCTTGCTGTGGAAGCTTTATACAGAAGTGAATCCTACAGTACTTAATATAGGCTGCATATCGAAGACGGTCCAAAGATTTAATTCCCTCTGTCCCGAATTAACCAATCTCAGCATTACTGACGCTGCAGATATTAGCTCCAGACCTCTTACAACTCCTTCTGTGATGCTCTCACAGTCAAATATCTTCTTGAAACTTGCGTACAATTTGCACTGCGACCTTTTCTCCCCATGCATCCGTACCCAAGTGAGATTCACCCACCTCGGGGAGCAGAGTGCAAGGTTGGAAACGGAGAACATCATTTAAGCAAAATGTGCATTTCCAGTTAAAGCTCTAACTTTAGGTGGGGTGGGGGCGGGGGGGGGGGGGGGGTAGTCCCAGCGGTTGCGATGTGAATTCACTAGTCTCTACCCCCCCGTGTCTCCACCGCAAACACTGCCAGTTGCAGAGGGGACCCAGTCTGGTGAGGAGTGGGTGGGTGGGGGTGTCAAAATAGCCTTAAAACCGAGGCAGTGGGGAGGGAGTGAGGGGCAGGTCTGACAGGCACAGGGACTCACTGCATTAACAGACATCCCCCCAACACACAATCTGAGCTCTCCTGCCACTTTGATAAGCTCCCCATAAAACAATGACTCCAGCACAAATGCAAACATCACGAGAGACCCCCCCCAAAAAAGTTTCCATTTTAAAATGACAAGAGAAAGTTAAAAATTAAATTTTAAAGAAAACTCACTGAGTTCTGCCGATGTGTAAAGTCCATGGTTCACAATGTCCCAGGACAAGAAGGAAAATTAATTTGTCTACCCCGTGTGTCGATTAATTTTCAGAACATGAAGGGCTCTTCACATCCAAATAAGACCCTTTTGTTTTTGTTCTAAAGAAAAACATTAGTCTTCCTTTATCACATTTCTCCTTCGGTGGTTGTTGTCCTCTTCAAAGCTGTTTTGCACTTTCTCTCCTTCCTTCCTTTCTCTCTCTCTCGTTCGTTCTGCCCTCAGTCCATTTAAACTGCTTCACACACCTTCCTGCTTTAAATTGACCAGACGCTGATGTCACAACGTGGCGGTCAGCCAACGATTCTATATCGCCAACAACAAAAAAAAATGCCTTGCAAAAGGAAAATGAAAATACACACACACACACACACAAATACACACACGGACTAATCCCTGCTTGATTCCAGAGGCTGTATATAATGTTGGAGGAAAATTGCCATTTCAATGTATCCAATTCGTCAGATACTAATAGCATTGATTTGCTTCTGAATTTTGGGATGTCCCCCACACCAGATGGAATCATAAAATCTCTATACTTTGTGGAAGCATTGTGGCCCATTGTGTCCACACCTACTCTCCAAAGAGCATCCCACCCAGACCCATTCCCCTCCCCAGTCCCTGTAACCCTGCATCTCCCATGGCTAACCCAACCAGCCTGCACATCCCTGGACACTATGGGAGCAATTTAGCATGGCCAATCCACTCTAACCTGCCCATCTTTGGACCAGGAAAAACCAGAAACAGGTGTTCCCCTCACATTGCACTGCTACCTCACGGCGCCAGGGACCCGGGTTCAATCCCACCCTCGGGCGACTGTCTGTGTGGAGTTTGCACATTCTCCCCGTGTCTGCGTGGGTTTCCTCCGGGTGCTCCGGTTTCCTCACACAGTCCCAAAGATGTGCAGGTCAGGGTGGATTAGCCATGCTAAATCGTCCCATATAATGTCACAGGGATGTGCATGCTGGGTGAATTAGCTGTGGGAAATGCAGTGTTACAGGGATGGGGTGGGGGGGGAAGCTGGGATGTGCTCCAGAGGGTTGGTGTGACTTGATGGGCCAAATGGCCTGCTTCCACACTGTAGGGATTCTATGACCCAGGGAGATTCTCCAGTACAGAAGAGGAAAGGCTTATCTTAATCTTCCCCTTTCTGTACCTTGATCTGTCAGAGAGTAGCCTCTGGATTGGGGGGTGGGGGTAGGGTGATTGTTGGCAGCAAGTAAACCATGGGAGCAGGAGGAGGCCATTCATCCCCTCAAGCCTGTTCCGCACCATTCATTTAACCCACAACTGCTCTTGTACCTCAACTCAAAGCATCTCCCGATTTACAACAATGGCTGCATGCTGCATTGTTCCATCATTGGGTAGAAAATGCAATAAGAATTCTGCAGGCTGTGAGAGACATCATGTGCAGGGGGTCCCTGATTTGTGAACATCCAACTTACAAACATTTGTATTTACGAACCCAATCCCATACAGGGGTGTAATTTTAAATATCTGACATATGTACATTTCCTGTACTTAGGAACAGCTGCTTTATATTGTCCTGCATTGTGTTCCGAATTGCGTACGAATCAACTCATTGAGTCATAGAGCTGTCCTGCAGGGAAACAGACACTTGGTCCGTGCCGACCAGATATCGTAAATAAATCTAGTGCCATTTTCCAGCATTTGGCCCATATCCCTCTAAACCCTTCCTATTCACATACCCATCTAGATGCCTTTTAAATGTTGTCATTGTACCAGCCTTCGCCACTTCCTCTGGCAGCTTATTCCATACATGCACCACCCTCTGCGTGAAAAAGTTGGCCCTTATCTCCCTTTTAAATCTTTCCCCTCTCACCTTAAACCTATGCCCTCTAGTTTTGGACTCCCTCACCCTGGGGAAAAGACCTTGTCTATTCATTGTATCCATGCCCCTCATGATTTTATAAACCTCTATAAGGTCACCCCTCAGCCTCCGATGCTCCAGGGAAAATAGCCCCAGCCTATTCAGCCTCTCCCTGTAGCTCAAACCCTCCAACTCCAGCAACATTCTTGTAAATCTTTTCTGCACCCTTTCAAGTTTCACAACATCCTTCCTATAGCAGGGAGACCACTGTACGCAGTATTCCAAAAGTGGCTTAACCAATGTCCTGTACAGCCTCAACATGACATTCCAACTCCTATACTCAATGCACTGACCAATAAAAGCGAGTGTACTGAACGCCATCTTCTCTGTTTACCCGCGATTCCACTTTCGAGGAACTATGAAGGAGTCAGGAATGGAACCTCTGACCTGCTGAGTTTCTGCAGCACTTTCTGCTTTTATTTGGAAGTCTATCAATCTCAGCTTTGAGGCTCCTAGTTTGCCTCCAGCCTCGAGCAGCTTTTGAAGGGAGGGAGAGTTTCAGATTCCCACTCTCCTTTGGGCATCGCCTCTGAATAGCCTGATTCGAATTTTAAGATTCTGTTCCCCTTGTTCTGGTGTCTTCCCCCTTTCCCAACCCTCTCCCAGTAGCCTCTGGTACCCAAGACACAGGAGGCTCACCTTTCCTCAGAGTTTGGGTGATGTATCATGTTGTGCAGGTATAATGGTTTGATGTTTTACATCAGGAATTGATCTGTTGACCACCCATGCATTTCTATCATGGATAGCAAGAACTGCAGATGCTGGAGTCAGAGACAACACAGTGTGGAGCTGGAGGGACACAGCAGGCCAGGCAGAGGAGCAGGCAAATCTCTGAAGAAGGGTCCCGGCCCAAAATGTGAAATTTCCTGCTCCTCCGGTGCTGCCTGGCCTGCTGTGTTCCTCCAGCTCCACACTGTGTCATCTCATTTCCTTCAATGGGGCAGGTTTTGAATAGCTGGCCCATGCTGAGATCCCTTTGTGCCGTGAGAGAAGCTAAAAGTCAAAGACCGTACAGCACTCAACACCAGCCAAGACTGAGAAGACAAGATAAAGCAGAGATTTGGTGGTCCCAAGTTAAGGTTTTTAGGGCCTGGAGATTTCACTGTGCAGTTCGTACCTTGCACCAAGTTCTGATGTTTTAAAATGTCCATTCATGGGATGTGGTCGTCCATCTCTAATTGCCATGGAAATAAGAACCTTGCGATTTCAGAAGGCAGTTCAGAGTCAACCATATTACTGTGGATCTGGGATCATATGTAAACATAGTAAAGACTGCAAGTTCATTCCCTAAAGGGCATTAGTGAACCAGTCAGATTTTTACAACAAAGGTTACACAGCCACCCCTTGTACTAGCTTTTAAATTCCAGATTTCATTGAATCCAAATTCCACCATCTACCACGGTGAGATTTGAACCCAGGACCCTCAAAACATTAAGCTAGGTCTCCAGATTTCTAGATCTAGTGATATCACCACTGCACCATCACCTGCTTGCTTGGGTCACAGTCTGACAACATCTTGGTTTTAAGCTCATCTTTGATTTCCAACCCCTCCACAACCTCTCCTGTCCCTACCTCTGTTATCCTCTTCTGTCCTCACAGCCTTGTTGCACATTCCTAATTTTAATCGGTCCACTATTTGCAGCTCTGTCTTCAGCTGGCTGGGGCCCAAGCTCTGGGGTTGATCTCTGTCTCCACCTTTAAAATGTTGCATAAATCCTACCTCTTTGACCAAGCTTTTGGCCATCCATCCCAATGTCTGATGGTGCTTGATAGCAGATTTTGTCTGATTGCACAAATGTGAAAGCAACCCTGGGTGTTTTACTACATGAAAGGTGCTTCATAACTGTGTGTTTTTGTTGTTGCAGATCATCTTGCACTGTTTGCCTTGATGGACATGTGTTTTAGTGAGTTATCACTCAGTCATGGGTTTAATGCTAAACTGGTTGATAACAGCCAAGCTGAAACATGGTGTCCCATGTCAATCTGGATTCAAGAAGGCTGATGAAGCAGGAAAATGAGACAACTTCCTTTGTGGATAGAGTTTATTGACTATTCAGTCTTAAAGCTGCTATTCCCCAGAATTTCAGGTGCTTCCTATGTACCTAGTCAATCAATAGTCTCTACTTGTTTTTGCCTTAAGTAAAAACATGCAAAAAATTAACAAAGTGATTAACCAGACATTAATACCTCAGTTCTGAGGAAGGGTCACTGGACCTGAAACGTTAACTCTGATTTCTCTCCACAAATGCTGCCAGACTTGCTGAGATTTTCCAGCAATTTCTATTTTCGTTTCAGATTTTGAGCACCCGCAGTTCTTTCAGTTTTTATTAATTCCTCGATATCCCGAGTTAAACACAAAAAGAGTTAGCAACTCAGATCACTCTCCAGTTACCTCAAGACACCCTGCTTCAGCTGAATTGGAATGTGACTGCATGCAGCTGTCAAAAGGTAGAAAGAATTGCATTTATATAGGGTCTTTCACAACCACAGAACATATCCCAAAACTCTTCATGACCAATGGAATAATTTTGAAGTGCAGTCACTGTCTGGAAACCATGGCAGCCAATTTCTGCACAGCCAGCTCCCACAAACAGCAATGACTAGATCATCTGGTTAATGAGATTAAAGTCACAGAATCCCTACAGAGCGGAAAGAGGCTATTTGGCCCATCAAGTCTGCACTGACCTTCTAAAAAGCATCCCACTCAGACCCAGGCCCCTACCCTATGCCCATAAGCCCACATTTACCATAACTAATCAATTTAGCCTACACACTGCTGGATACTATGGGCAATTTAGCACGGCCAATCCACCTAGCCTGCACATCCCTGGACACTATGGGGCAATTTAGCACAGCAAATCCACCCTAACCTGCACATCTTTGGACTGTGGGAGGAAACTGGAGCACCCGGAGGAAACCCACGCAGACACGGGGAGAACGTGCAAACTCCACACAGACAGTTGCCCGAGGGTGGAATTGAACCTAGGTCCCTGGGGCTGTGGGGTAATAGTGCTATGTGGCTCAGTGATTAACACTAGTGACTCACAGGGCTAGGGAGCTGGGTTCAATTCCACCTTCGGTTGGCTGTCTGTGTGGAGCTTGTATGTTCTCCCCGGGTCTGTCTGCAGGGGTTTCCTCCAGGTGCTCTGCTTTCCTCCCACAGTCCAAAGATGTTCAGGCTAGATAGATTGGCCTTGCTAAATTGCTCGTTGTGTCCTAAGATGCGTAGATTAGCCATGGGAAATGCAGGGGGAGTGGGGTGGGATACACTTTGGAGGGTTGCTGTAGACTGGATGGGCTGAATGGCCTGCTTCCACACTGTAGGGATTCTATGGATACCAGAGAGACTTCCACTTCCTTTCTATGAAATAGTG